CCCCGATGGGTTGGTGAACGGTTGCGTTCGACCAGTTCCCTTCTTCTCTTTCCTCCTCTTCCTTTTCCATTTCCTTCTCTTCCTTCTCGCTTCCTTTACGCATCCGAGGCGTAAAAAAACTCGATGTCTCTCTCCCTCTGCCCGCCTCTCCACTCGGGCTGTGTGTGAAATTGTTGTTTACTCAACGGACTGCTTACGTGTTAGCATATCGACTGATTTATAAGCGCGCCGCAGGTCCTGAGATATTGGGCCGTGGTCTTTTTGCTTCGCCTTCTTGGTCCGAGCAATAGTCCCGTTTGGCCACTTTTTCAGCGGTCGACGCGCGGTGGATGATTGTCCGGAGGCCCGGAGAAAAGGGGTGGCCGCTTGATTGTGCGCGCCTGTCCGTACCTAGGGGCTTGTACAGGGTGTCGTAATTCTAACGTTTCGAGTATTTTGTCTGTTGTTAGTCGAGCGTTACATTGGTTAATGGATTAACTTCTAGAGTCTTTGAAATCGTGCTCTCTCTCTCTCTCTCTCTCTCTCTCCCCGAGCCGCCCCATGAACCTCCCCTTCGCTACTTTTGAAATATTTCAATGGCTGCGATTAGCGCGCTGCTAGTTGGCAAAAGATACACTCCGCTCTAACCCCCGAGACCTTGCACGAACTCGACTCTTCCCTCGTTTCTCCCTCGGAGAGGAAGTTCTTTTAAAAAACGAAAACCTTCGTAGATGTACGAAAATTATACGACTTTCGTTTTTCACGTTGAAACAATGAAAAAGTTCTACGCAAGCGTGCATTGATAACGGTTCGTTCGATGCAATGCTCGTAGTAAAATCGTAAGGAACTTGAACGTACCTTGGCACCGAATTGCTTCTCCGGAAACGGCCGATTCCCTGGATTATCCAAAGACGTTGAACAGGCGGATTCCGTACGTAGAGGAGGTCTCAATGGCGTTATTAAGTCGCGCTTTCTCGTGAAAGCCCAACATCCTATCTAATGCCAGCGATCCATCATCCTCCTTTGGCGGGAGCTGCTGGTACCGACCTCGGGCAACTCGAGACGGTTCCCAGTTCTCAATAACATAATACCACTTCCTCCTCGTTGTCGTTGCTCGCCGCTCGCGCCGTGCCTACGAACAAACGAGCCCTGATTAATCCGGCGATAATCTCTCTGTTTTCAGCCAAGCTGACCCACGATGCGATTCCCAAACTATCGCCGTTTCCTCCTGAGAATCGAACTTGGCGATCGGTTCTCGTTTGGTTTGCTTTTATTGGGCATAAGAGAAAGTTCTGTCGTTTTTTTTTTTAAATTTAAAATTACTTATTTCTTTTTTATATAAAAGTTAATCTGTTGTGTAATTCTCTTCGTTGGATATCACTTTCTGCCGACGTTCTGAAAGCTTATTTATTCCTCCTGGTGTCTCATCTTTTTGACGCGACTTTCAATGAAAAATTGCCTCTTCGAAATTCTTCGAACCACCTTTGACAAGATTTCACTAGACACATAAGTTTTTTTTACTTGAACTTGCACAAGGCTATTTCCTTTCTCATGTTCGTTCACCGTTGAATGCTTCAATTTCTGAATTGCACATTGCGATACTAATAAAAACAAAAAAAAAAAAATGGTTAATTAACCGGAATGCTTAATATAATAGGATAAGTATGTTTTAAACCGATCTGAGAATTGTTTCAACAGCTATCACTATCTACTAGCAGAAAATTGAGAAATTCGGTACTGCAGAAAACGAGAGAACTTGCACTCAACACATTTACGGGGAAATTTACGGTAGTGTCGCAAGAACTGTTCAGAGAACTGCATTTCTCGATTCTGCAAATCTCCATTTGAGTACGAAAGTTTGTCATCGATCACCAGCGAGAAACAGTTTTAGAGCGGTCGGTAATCGACGAGTGGGAAAAAACTCGAATCCTTTGTATTCAACAATTATAACCTTTATATATGTTACGCGGTAACGTTTGGAACCGACGCGGAGACTGCCCGAGGAGAATTAGAGCATCGTAAAGCAATAAGCGCGACGCAAACAAGGGGTTCGATCGTTGTAACCGATCCAACGTCGAACGTGATCCAACAGAGGCGCTTTCATGCCCTCCCCCCTGTGACGATGCTGCAGAACAGTAGTATTTTTGTGCCCCGTTAACCACATGCCCCAGCGCCGTGAAAAAAAAAAAAAACGTGCCATTGAAATTCACGGTAACGCGCGCGTTATCGAGAGATCGATAAATGCCGACACAGTGGGCCACGATCTCGTGTGAAACACGTGCATCGGTACGGCGCGGCCGATAAAGCGAGAGAGAAGGCTCCGACTTTTTATTGCTGACAGGCTGGAAGGGTGAATGGTACCTTGTACCCCAGGAACAATGACCTCCTCACACGCGTCCACCTTTCCCGCGATCCTCCAACCTCTAATTTCCATATTTTTCGGCCGTTTGCCTCTCGAGTCGAAACGACCAAAGTAGGCCAGTTTTGCGGTTTGCCTGTGTAATTTTCTGCGAGAACATCTCGAGAGATACTCGGGAGGATAGGGCTGATTTTGGCAAATCGTTAGATCCTAAGGATCGGAATATCTCACACAGAGATCTAACGAGCTAGAGCTAGAACGTGTTTCGTTTGAAAATTGACTTTTTACGAAAATCTTGTTGCGAAAGGAGGATCAAACAGTTGCTTCTTTAATTCGGCACCCGGTTCCCTTTTATTTCTCGAAAGTTGCCGCTCAATCTCCGCAATAGTAGAAAACCCCGCACGAGCGTCTCATCCTCAATTTGATCCTTCGAATCGAGCAACAACCGTCTAATTTCCGCCGGTCATCTAACGAGATGATCGAATCGCTAGAGCGACGTGTCACTCTCAGAACGACGCGAGGGATTACGTTTTCTCAAGATGAAGAAATGAAATACACGTACATGTAGCTAAGATGATGACGGTCGTGGAAATGGCCAAGGTAAATATAAAGGACTGCGATTTTACAGAGGGCAAACAGGCTCGTTTCTATCTCTGTTCCCGGGGTATCGGGATTAGCATTTAGGCCGGCTAACGGGACGTCTCGTGAAACATTGTTTCCTTTTTCCTTTTCCCTCGTTGATGCAGGTTTTATTGCACGTTGCTTGCCCGATAGAATGCGAAACGGATTAAACGCGTTTAATCCTGCGGTTAGAGAGCAAACAGTGCGAGGTGTAGAACAGATGATGAAGAGACGGACAAGAGCCGGCTGCGGTTGAAATCGCAAAGCCTCGAGCCCGGTAAAACCCGTGGTGTTACGAGCCTCTCACCCCGTTGCAATTATGCCAGGGTTGCGTTAAACAGGCCGCAAAAATTTTACGATAGGCAAAGCGCGTAATTGCATCGTAAGCATGTTTTGGCAAACAGCAAAAAAAGAAAAAAAAATAAAATAAAAAAGAGGAGAAGGAGAAGAAGAAATTTGTCAATTCTGTGAAGTATTCACGTCGACAGAAATAAAGATAAAACGAAATGATAATTGATCGTTATACGCTGCGTTTATCGGACAGAGTACGATACACGTAGGCTAGAATCTCGTAACGAAGCTTGCGAAACGATTTTATTGTCCTACACAGCTTAGGCATAAGGATAAGACGGAAGTGGTCTGGATAAAATGGATGTTAGATCCAGCGAAACGATTCCATTTACCGCGAGTCGCTCACTCGACGAGAAAGAGAGACAGCGTTATCGAAAGCTCGATCGTCTAATACTCGCATTAGTTAAATGCTCGGAACCGGTTATTAGCAACATTTAGCCATTATACGGCTTGGCATATCTTACAACGGTGTCTAGAGCGGCTCGAGGATTATTAAGCTTTTTCCAGCGAAACAGTTCAATATACACGGTGAGCCACGCATAATGATCGCGCTGTGGCGCCCGTGTGGATCACGAGCAAGGGCGACAGTTTCAGACGTGTTTATATCGCGTTAATCGTTGTTTCGCGAAATTGCACTTAGCAGCTTCTATTAATAATGCATTAGCGCGTGATCTGTTTCAGCTGTTGCAGCCCTGTTGCGACTAATGTAATTTCGCAAATCGAGAATAGAATTGAAATGTCCATGCCTTTTGTGTCTCGATAGAATTATCACCGACAATGTTATCGACCGAGTAACGTCAGAACAATGTTTTCGAAGAGCAACGTTTTATCTTTTCACACTATGAAAAACTCATTCTCGTACTAAGGCACGCTTCGTGGAAATTTCAAAGGCAAAATTTTTCCCCTTCGCATACAGAAACCACTCTTGTATTATCGAGAACGACTTATCTTTCATCTTATCAGTCTGCCTCTCCAATGTCCAACCGATCCCCCGTCGATATCTCGACGAAGGTAAAGATCGTGGACGAGCCACGTACACGTTGTATGTTAAGTGTGTGCACAGAGAGAGTTTTCCTTTTCTATCTATGGCGATTCCATGGGATCCGCTCTATATTTGCGTTTGCCACAAGGTGCGTCCATCACCGCGTGCGATCGTGACCAACCGACCAACGTGTCACCGTTTGTCACCTGCCAAATTGGCAAACACTCTTATCGAGAACCGGCGTGGAAAGTGTCTCGTTCTCTTCGTCTCAACGCCACCATATTCGATATTCCATATTCCGGGACTTGTTTGCGAGATATCACCGAGAAAATTCCACCGATTCCACCAGCGACACCTGAGAGCTTCACCGGTTCACTTTACGCTTCCGACAGAAATCGTTCGAAACTTTTCTATTTTTACAAGAAATTGCTTTCCAACGCTAACAATTCGTACAGTATATTTCCCTCGAAGTATATTCGCTCCAGAAATTCTTTCTCTTGCGCTTTGCGTACAAAGAGGAGAAATTCTTCAACGTAAGAGGCATTTGCAACATCTCGCAATCGGTACACACACACACACACACACACACAC